TTTTGGTCAATGACATGAGACAAAGTATATGTGAACTGCTGTATGAAAAGTGAATTTACTCTGTAAATCTTCACCCAAATCCTAATAAAAAAAAAAAAAAGAGTATATATAGGTTTAGCAGAGGATATTTCCATGTATGTTTTTGTATGTGCTGCAAATAGATCCCTGTATGTAGTAGAGCATACAGGGGGCAAAGTTATGAAAATTTATTAGCCAAAATCAAAAACCTTGAGGGACTGAGGCATTGGGGTTGGGGGTTTTGGACCACAGGCCTGAGAACATATCTAGGTCAATTGGCATAATATAGTCCACAAAGACAATGTTCTACATCCTGCTTTGGTGAATAGTGACTAAAGACTTAAAAGCTTCATAGCAGCCATCTAAAATGCAACTGTTGGTATCGCCCCTTCTGGACAAAGAAGAGTGAAGAAAATCAGATACTCAAGGAAATAATTAGTCCAAAAGACTAATGAACCACACAAACTAGTCTCCACTAGCCTAAGACCAGAAGAACTAGATGGTGTCCAGCTACCACTGCTGAAAGCTCTGATTGGGGTCACAACAGAAAGTCCTGGACAGAGTAGGAGAAAATGTAAAACAAAATTCAAAATCATAAAAAAGACTAGACTTACTGGTCTGATGGAGACTAGTAGAACCCCAGAGATTATGGTCCTTAGACATCTTTCAAACCTGGAACTGAACCCCCAGGGATCTCCTCTCAGCCAAACAACAGAGAGGACTATAAAGTGGACAAGCAACACCTATGAAGAACATACTCAGAAAAATCAACCATAAGAGACTAAAAGAACATCATTTGCCAAAAACCAAAGTGGATGGCAAGAAGGGGCAGAAGAGAAGAATGAATGGAAATGGCGAACCCACAGAGGAAGCCAGAAAAATTCTGCTACGTTGAGAAGACTGCTACTAATGTCACAAAACAAAATATGTATAAATTGTTAAATAGGAAACTAATTTCCCTGTAAACTTTTACGCAAACCACAATAAAATGTTAAATTAAAAAAAAAAAAACCTAAGACAGATTTAAGAACCCTAAGAGAAAACTAAGTATTTTTCATGTGCCACAAGACAAAGGCTTTCATGTGTTATAATGTACTCATAACTAAAGTAATAATCACTGTGACACACTCTTGGGAGAGAAGGGGAGCTCAGCTGGCAGGGCTCTCTATGCCTCTGAGGGCTCCACATAATGTGTTCAGTGCCAAATCCATTGAAACTAAATTCAGTAAGTATAAATATTCATGTGAATAATATCCCAATATGTTTTCAAATATTATAAATGTAATAGGGATTTTTTGTTTTCTTTAAAAAGGGGATTTTAAACTTTTACTGTCTATCAAAGGTTTAATCCTTGGTGTTCCCATAGCAGCAGTCCATAGAGTCAGATCAGGTGCCTCGGCACACAGTGTGAAAAGGGAAAATTAAAATATAAGGAAAAATAATTTTTAATTTTAATAAAAGCTAAAAACAAAGAAACTATTTCAAAGCCATTCAGACTTTATTCCATCTAGAGGATTCTCTCCTCCCCCGCCTTCCACCTCCAGCCTTGCCCTCATCATTGATGTTGTTTTTAGCTGCCATCAAATTGGCCCCTGACTCATGGTGACCCTATGTACAAAAGGACAATATGCTGCTCGATCTGATGCCATTCCTATGTTCGGACCATTGTGATGCATATAATTCCTAGCATTTTCATTGGCTGATTTTTAGAAGTAGATTGCCAAGCCTTTCTTCCTAGTTCATTTTAGTCTGGAAGCTCTTCTGCTTCCAGACACAGAGCAACCTGCCATCTACCACTGACAGGCATGTATCAGCTGCTCATGAGGTGCGTTGGCCAGGAATTAAACTTAGGACTCCCACATGGAAGGTTAGAATTCTACCACAGAATCATTGCTGCCTCTCAACACCAATTCCTTAAATTAAGAGAACTTCACCCCAAGGGAAAGAGTATCCCTTTAGATGGATGGACAGTCCTTTAGGGGCCCATGGGGTGAGAGCAGGGACAGGGGACTGGGGATGAAAAGGCATCTTGGGGATCTCTCAAAATCCCCTAGTCAACTTCTTCCAATTCTACCATACCACGATGCATCAGAATAGAGACCAACTGACAGGCCATGAGCCTATCTGGTCAGAATTTCACAGGATTCATTGCTCATTTGCAAGGGTAACAGACTGAGGGAAAATGAAGCACAGGGGATTTCTCAACTGAGCTGCACTCACATAGGTAGAAATCTTCCCAATTTCTCTCCACTGAAACCGTAAAGTTGCAATTCTGATGTTGTTTTTCACTTCGTAAACTATGACACCCTTGGCACAGATCCCCAATGCCATCTCTCTTTCTGGCCGTATCTTCTCTGGGAAAACTCGGTGAACCAGCACACCATATTCCGGGAGCTGCTGAGTGACCTGGAGTAAGAAAAACCCAATTTAGGAGAGACAGATACTGGTTTCAAATAATGAGTTCCAAAGTATTCTATGAAACCATCCCATAAAAAATATGTTAATAGACATTCTAGGGGAAAAAAAATAGGTAAGTTTGCCAAATATGTTTAGGAAACATTGAGATAAACAGATTTTCTTACTACAGAATTTCTCCCCATCTCTGATATGGAATGTGAAGAATAAATGTTCAAGAGCATTTTTCTTTTCTTTTTTAAGCGAAAGAATCATTTTTCATGGTGGACCTAAAATAGTACCTAGAACATAGTTATTATAGAAATGGTACAATAGAATAATAATGTTCTGAGCAAGTTTAGAATTCAGACTCTCTTGGGACATCATAACTTAAGGGATTTCTTTTTCCCAATTGTGCCTGTCAAGGCCCAAAGCTTTCATGTCACAGGTGGAAAAACTGAGGCTCAGGCACAGAAAGCAACCCCTAGATCTTAAGCATTGCTGCTAAAGAAAGAAGAGCCATGAACACCCAGCAGAGAAGCTGGCAAGACACTTAGGCTTTTCTTGTCATGTGGCAGTGCCTCAGTGGGGCGCCTACAGCCCAAGGTGTGCCCTGAGTTTACCAGGCTGTTGTTGTTGTTGTTCTTGTTATGTGCCGTCAAGTCAGACTGACTCATAGCGACCCCTCCTTGGGTTTCAGAGGCAGTATTACTATGGAAGTAGATTGCCCAACCTTCCTTCCAAGGAGTGGGTGGTGGGTTTGAACCACCAGCCTTCTGGGTAGCAGTCAAGTGCCTTAGGTTAGAAGATTGTATTTCATCAGGAGTCTAGGGCCAATCAGACCTGTAGACTGCATCAGGCCAGCCAAATTTTTAAGATAATGGAGAATTAATTGATAAAATGTTTTTATGTCTGAATGGTAGTAACCTCCCTATCTAGAGCTTTCTCTTCTTCATCTCCACCTGGAAGGCTCCAGTCCTTATCAGGCATTTGATGATCATGGACACAGATAGCAAGGGAGTTTGTTGGTGAGATATGATGTTCCATCTCTACACACCAGCAGAGAACACCATGTCAAGTGTTCATCATGCCCAGGCAGGGTCACAATAACAAGAACAAATTCTTGCTTTTAATAGCTTGTTTCTTGGGCTTCTGGTTGACCCTTCCACTTCTTATGATAAATAATCTCTGCACCCAGGTTACTCTACCTGAGGAGCCTACAGTTCTTCACATGGTCTTGAGGTCATGAGCCTCCATCTTTTAACTTTGGAGCATCTTTGTCTTCATCATTGTCATCATCATCATCAAAAGTGGTATTTATTGAGCATTAGTGCTGAAATATCCAATGGCCAAACAAGGTATGTGCTTAAGGTCTAACAAAACCGCTTCACTCAAAACTGATAAATTTTTTAAAGAATATTACCTATTCTCCGTGTCCTATCTACTAAGGAATCTTCTCATCCATTCTGTGTTACTATTGCTGGTTTACCTCTCAGAGGGTCACTACATCTTCATGCACCTGGAGGCATCTCACTACGTCCCCTAGACTCATTATAGCTGGCAGCACAGTTGAAACTGGAACCAGGCTGTTCTGGCTCTCAGCCCAGTATTGCAGCAACCTGGAAACAAATGTACTGAAAACAATTGGAAACAAATGAATCACTGTTTCCAGATATTCATCAAGCAATGAACAATTCATATACTTTGACCTTATAATTCCACCCCTGGGAATCTATCCAAAGAAAATACACTGAATAATCAAGACAAATCTTTTTCATAATGATGTTCAGAGCAATGTTCTTTACAATGGTAGAGACTTACAGGGTGGGTTGGGAAAATAGCTCCTGAGCAGCACATTTCCTAAAGGCAGTAACTACTGCCTTCAAGTAGATTACCATGCAGCCTCTACAAAAAGAAATTTTTAAAACATTTGTAATTACCTGGGGAATGCATATGCTATAATGCTAAGTGGAGGGAAAAACAGGATACAGCAGGTATGAGTTCAACAGTGAAAAAAATTGTTTACTAGCATATCACACCTTCTTCAATATGGATTACACCTCAGCATAAAGGAAATAAAAATCCTCACAATATGACCAATAAGCCACATCATGATAAATGAAGAAAACACTGAAGTTGTCAAAGATTTCATTTTACATGGATCCATAATCAATGCCTATAGAAGTAGCAGTCAAGAAATTGAACAACACATTGTACTGGGCAAATCTACTGCAAAAGATTTCTTTAAAGTATTCAAAAGCAAAGATGTCACTGTGAAGACTAAGGTGTGCCTGACCCAAGCAAAACTGGATGATGAATAAGGAAGACCAAATAAGAATTGATGTTTTTGAATTGTGGTGTTGGTGAGGAATACTGAATATACAATGGGCTCCCTAAAGAATAATCAAGTCTGTCTTGGAAGAAGTACAGCCAAAATGCTCCTTAGAAGTGAAGATGGCAAGTGTTCTTTGGACTTGTAATCAGAAGGAACCAGTCTTTGGAGAAGGACATGACACTTAGTAAATTAGAGGGTCAGTGAAAATGAGGAAGACTCTCAACAAGATGGATTGATACAATGGCTGTAATAATGTGCTCAAACATAACAATGATTGCGAGGATGATGTAGGACCAGTCAGTGTTTCATTCTGCTGTACATAGAGTTGCTATGAGTCAGAACTGACTCAATGATACCCAACAACAACAGTTACACAGATAAATGATTCTGTGGTTGAAAAAGTTTGGAAAACACTGTTAACCTATAACAGGTTGTTCTGGGATGGTACAGTAATGCAATTGTGACTCTTCCAGACAGAGTATGATTTTCAGCATTCCTCACACTGGAGTTGTGCCAAGTCTGCTTCAAGCATGAAATGAAGAACTCTCAGAGTTAATAATCATCAGTGAGCTGGAGTGAAAAGGTATCTGTTTCAAGAGACAACCATTTGATAAAGGGATCCTTTTTGTTATTTTAATGGAAATGGAGAGCCACTAGGAAATATAACAAAATAATGCAATGAACATTTCTGGAGCAATCAGGCTGTGATGGTCCCTGAGGATACAGTGCTGTCAATACACTCACAGCTGAGCAGAGGGACAAAAAATATACAGAAATAACTCCAATACAGTGTACCTTAGCATTTATCTATCTGGCAAAAACTTTTAAATGTTCATAAACTTTGAGCCCCATAATTTCACTCATGAGATTCCTTCCCTAATGAATCAAGCAGAAATACAGCTAAAGGTTTAAAATAGTCCCATATTAGAAACAATATGTACAGTGAAACCTGTAAAAGCTGGAACCTGTGTAAGGTGGAAACCTGTCAGAGAAGAAAAACTCAAATATTAGGAAAGTGGTAAGACTGTACCCCATCAAAGGTGAAAAACTTGCAAGACTCAGAAAAATAACCAGTCACACTGATTTCCAAGTCTCACAGGTTTCACTGTACTTCAACAAAACAGCAGTGAGAAAAAAATATGGTGCACCATGTATTGATTCAAAATAAAGTTTTAAAAATGCTAGTTATGTGGGAATATAAGAATACACAAAACTGTACATATAAACCCAATTTTAAATATACGTAAGAGATCCAAGAGGGTGGACTAGGCAGATACACTATTCAGACTACTAAAACAAAGGCATGATAAACCAAGTGAAATGGATACAAATTACAACCCTGGAATCCAGAGCTTCAAATGAAAGAATAAAGAATTTCAGAAATAGATAACACATTGGAAGGTCAAGGGAGTAGAATTGAATCATTGGAAGACAGAGTTAGTGAGAACGAAGATAAATTTCTTTAATACTAACCTGTAGAGGAACAATCAGAAAACATAATGAAAAATGCCTAAGAATTATGTGAGATATCATCAAGAGGAATCACTTCTGTGTGATTGGAATTTCGGAACAGGAAGAGACAAAAAATACACTGAGAAATTTGTCAAAGATTTCTTGTAAGAAAACTTCTCAAATATCATAAAAGGTGAGGAGATACACATTCAAGAACAGAATAGACTCCAGAGTCTTATCTCCAAAATCTATAGAAAACTTCAACATGTCAACACCAAGAAGACAAATAACCCAATTCACAAATGGCAAAAGACTTGAACAGACACTTCACCAAACATGATACACAGGTGGCCAACAGAAACATGAGAAATTGCTCATGATCATTTGTCATTAGAGATATGCAAATCAAAACAATGATGAGATATCATCTCACCCCAGCAATAATACCAAAGTTCAACAGGACAGAAAATAAGAAATACTGGCAAGGTTGTGAAGAGATTGGAACTCTTGTGCACTGCTGGTGGGATTGTAAAATGGTACAACCATTGTGACATACAGTATGGCGTTTCCTTAGAAAACTGAAAATAGAAATACCATTTGACCCAGCAATTCCATTATTAGGAATATATCCTAAAGAAGTGAGAGACAGCATACAAACAGACATATATACACCTATGTTCATCACAGCACAATTCACTATAGCAAAGACATGGAAACAACTTAAATGGCCATCAATGGATGAGTGGATAACCAAATTATGGTACATTGACACAACGGAATACTATGCTACATTGAAGAACAGTGAGAAATACGTGAATCATCTCACAACATGGATTAGCCTGGAGGACATTGTGCTGATGAAATAAGTTAATCATAGAAGAGCAAATACTGTATGAGCCCATTACTGTAAAAAGACAAAGAAGGGTTTGCTTGGGAAAGGAAGGGGAGAGATTAATTCCAGGCTAGTTGGGGTCCACACACTGACATGGGTAAGGGGAGGGAAGTATGGAAAGAGTCTGTGACCACCATGATAACATTAGGGAAAGGGAGGACACTGAATTGTGCACAAAGAAGATAGATGACAGATGCTAATACCAACCAGTATGCCCACAATACTACATTACCATTAACACCAAACACCAGACTACAGATAAACACATAAACACCTGAGAGGATCATATTGGGGTCAGTGAACAGGAGTATACTCTAGACCAAGGTTCAGTGC